GATGGGATTTTCTGGTGAAAAAGGTGTTATACCCCTTTAAGGTATGGAATAAACTAGAAAATTATGTCTGGCTCATCCACATATATCTCTCGGAAGCAGAAAAAGTAGCAAATATCTCCAATTCCTCCCAACAGATAAATGCTAGGCCATGGTTTTGATTTTGATAGCCCAGGCTCTTATAACTACTATGTGGTAGATGAAGTTGAATCTTTGCCAGGCCTCAAAAGACACACCTAAAGAAGAAAGAAAGATTGATTTCCTGTTAACAAATATATAGAAAATAAATCAAAAGAATAGTGACCAGTCAGTGAAATTTGTACCATGTTCCCACGTTTGCCCTACATCCCTGCAAATTTGAAGTAGGTCATTACGGTTTTGCTGAAGCCCCCAGTGGATTTCCACCCTTCCCTCATCCCCTCCCCATTCCCAGAAGCGAACACTATTCTGATCTAGGTTTCTAGGTTGATATATGTATTTGGGTGTTCCGTAATGTATATATCCCCAAGTGATACATGGATTGTTTTGCTTGTTTCTAAGCTTTATATAAATTGTACTATACATGTCATTTCCTCTCCTGCCTTTTCCCCCTACTTAACATTTTTTTGAGATTTATTTGTGTTGATATATGTCATTTGTGTCCGCTCATTTTGGCGTCAGTATCTTTCCCATTGCATAAATACGCCATCATTCGTTTATTCTTTCTTGCTTTTATGGACAGCGAGCTGTTTCCAGTCCTTGCTTTTGCAAAGAGCGGGTACAGGGAAGGTCTTTTTAACATGAGTGTTATGAATTAAATATGAAAGTCACCTTTGGCTTGTGTATTAAATGCTTATTAGTTCCTAGCTGGCTACACTGTTTTGAAAGGTTCTGGAAAGTTCAGGAGGTACAGGCTAATTGGGGGAAGTACATCACTGGGGGCGTGAGTTGAAGACTATATCTTGTCGTGGCCTTCTCTCTGCTTCTTCTCTGTAATGAGGTGAAGAAACTTCCACCACACACTGCTGTCACCACAATGTTCTGTCAAAACACATGGGGCCAGGCAACTTAGACTGACCACTCCAAGACGGTGCTTCTAAACAAATCTTCTGTCCCTTATAAGTTTAGGTATTTGGTCATAGCAACCAAAAAGTTAAAAACTGACAGCCAAGAACCTGTTATGTAAGTAAAGGAGCTATCCCCGTAGTTTAGCCATTCTACCTTGTGCTTGTTTTGAACAGTCTCTTTATATAGCCCTAGTGCTGTTCTGGAAGTGGTAGGTAGCCTAGGTTGGTCCCATATTGCCACAATCCTCCTGCCTCTGCCTGCCAAGGGCTGTTATAAATGCCCAGCACCATGCCATGTGGGTTATGTGGCTCTTCAAGGAAAAAAATGCTCCTGAGCTTCCCCCAGAGGAACCAATTCACTCTGTCTCCACGAGTTCTTAGCCAGCACCTCTGGGTGTTGGAACCCAGGGCCTAGTGCATGCTAAGCAGATACTCTGCACTAAACTACACCCGGCCCTGGTCATCCTCTTACTCCGTGGGAATCTATGTGCCCCGCGTCTCATTCCCTTGTCAGAGCAGCACCAGGGTCTGTGTTTTACTGTGAGTCTCATGTAACTTATCTTAGAGTAATATAATTTTCAATCTTTCCCATATTTGACATTCTTTTCTACCCACAAGGAGTAAAAACAATCCCTGTGTTTTCTACTGAAAGTTTGAAAGTCTTGGGGTGTTAGAGGTGGCTCTGCAGCAGAGCACTTGCCAGAGGACTGGGCTTGCGTTCCCAACATCTGTATCAGGCAGCTCACAACCGCCTGGAACTCTAACTCTGGAGGCTCTGATGTTTCTCCGGCCTTCATGGGCATACACGCACACACACAAAGTAGTAAAATCAGTCTTTAGTCATGGTGCCAAATGCCTCTAATCCCAGCAGTTGGGAGGCAGAGTCAGGCAGATTTAAGTTTGCAGGCAGCCTGATCTCTGTAGTGAGTTCTAGTCCAGCCAGAGCAACATAGTGAGACCCTGTCTCAAAAAGAAGTTTTAAATTTTTTTCTTTTTCTTCTCTTAGATTCGAGACAGGATTTCTCTGTAACTTTAGGACTTGTCCTGGAACTAGCTCTTGTAGACCAGGCTGGCCTTGAAATCACAGAGATATGCCTGCCTCTGCCTCCCAAGTTCTGAGATTAGACTCCTAAGTGCTGGGATTAAAGGCATGTGCCACCACCACCCGGCCTTCTATTAGATTCTAAGCGATGTTCATTTTCTTTAAGACAGAGTTTTGCTATTTCACCCAGCGTGGCCTTGAACTCCTGGGTCCAAGTGACCCTCCACCTCAGCTTTCCAAGTTGCTGGGACTGTAGGGTACACACTATGGGGCTTGGATCCAGCATGCTTGTTCTTTAGGGGTATGGGGGCAGCAATGCAAATTCCATGGACTTTAGGGAGTATGCTAACCCTGGGCTCTTGGTATTCTGTGCCATTCTCTCAGATGCTAAACACACTTCTGTGAACTCATGGCTTTTTTCAAAAACCAAACACTATGGTGGTAAGAGTTCATCTTGAACCTGAATTGGGATCCCCAGAATGCACATAGAAAGCCAGCATCCTTGTAGCCCCAGTACTAGGGTTGGAGACACAACAGACAGATCCTGGAGACTTGCTAGCCAGCCAGTTAGTGAACTCCAGGTCCAGTGAGAGATTCTATCAGATAAGATAGGGAGCAACAGGAAGACATCTAAGATTGACGTCCAGCCTCCACAGTCATATGAGTGCACACACATAAACCCGGGGACATGTACACACACCTGACTTCAATGACATTCTAAAACAAACGTAACAAGATTGCTGTGCTGCCCGCAGCAGAATAGTTTAGGGAGTTTAGACTCTGGGGGCTGGGGAGATGGCTCAGAGGACAAAAGCACTTGCCCTCAAGCATGAAAGAGCTGAGTTGAAGTAGCCAAAACACACATAAAGCTGGGGACGGTAGTGCACATCTCTAATCCCAGCACTCCGAAGGCAAGCGAGGAGATCAAGAAAGGATAATCCTGGGAAGTTCACAGGCAGCTAGCCTGGCACCAGGTAGGTACACAGTGCAGTGGGGAAAAAAATCAAAGAGACCCTGCTTCCAAACAAGGTGGATGGTGAGAACCAACACTCAGGGTTTTCCTCTGGCTTCCACACACATGCTGTGGCATGCACATGCCATGTGCACACATGCACGTTATACACAAACAGAAAGTGTAGGCTTTCACTAGTCCCATTCCTTCATGAAATTACTGTCATCAGGATAGCCTTCTTTGCCAATCGTGTGATGTGTCGTAGTTATCTGAAGTAAGCATTAACATTCCCCAAATTTCTGTAATATTGTCAGAATTGTACTCACCGTAACGATTAGTTCTCCCAGCCAGAGTCCAGGAGTAAATAAAGGATGCAGAGGGTCAGAGCCTTAAGGACACCCACTCCTTGCCAACTAGCTGTAATTGTGAAAGGCTGTCCAACAGGTCATCGAACCTTGTCCTGAAAGTCTTGATCACTATCATCTGAATTTAGTGGAGTCGAGAGATCTGTCATCCCGCTACTGGCTCTATCTTATTGGTGCCATAAGTGATTCTATTCTCTCAAACCGTTGGAACAGACCAAGACTACCCTACTTCAGCCATTTCGTTCCTAGTTCACTCGTTCTTTCACTTTCTACAGTGCCTGAGATCAAAGTCAGTCTGTGACTGAGTAAGTGCTCTTATACTGAGCTGTAAGCCCAGCCCCTGGCCTCAGGCATGTCTGTGCCCTGGCCATCAGTGCCTAGAGGCATCTAATCAAGCATCCTGAAGCACATGTGGCTGCTTATTAAACCTCCGGAGTACTGATGTTCTCTTCTGTAAAACTGGGAACAATGAGCTCATGAGGGTGGACCTCAGAGAGACAATGTGAAAGAACTTGTAGTATCCCTTCTAGCCATTGGTGATCCATGAGGAAAGCTGATCTCTTTCCAGATAATTGGCATTCAAGAAGTCCAGAACAAACAAAGTGGGTTGTTGCCAAGATACGATTAAACGTGGTTAAAATGTCATCAGACAGCATCTAGAGAGGTCCTAAGTACAGCAATAACAAGTTACCAGTTTTTTGCCTTATGAATAAGTAAGATACTTTGTGGTAGTTTTTTCGTGCTGATGAGGGTGCAGTCTACAATTTCTGTGATGCTGATAGCTATGTAAACAGGTGCATTGTGGGTGGAAAGAGGTTCAGACATGTCCTGGGAACATCCAAGATAAGCTATGCTTTGGCCTGTTCTGGAGACTGTTCCCTAAGGAGATGCCACTGTTGAGGCTAGAAGCCATGAAGAGGCTATCTGCCTCAGCATCTGCCTTTTGGTTTTGTTATTTTATTTTTTAAGATTATTTTTCTCATATGTGTATGAATGTTTTGTCTGCAAGTATGCATGTGTACCATATGCATGCCTAGTACCTGAGGAGGTCAAAAGAGGGCATAGGATCTGTAATTGGAGTTACCAATGGCTGTGAGTCACCTTGTGGGTGCTGGGAACCAAACCAGTTAACTGCTGAGCTGTCCCTCCAGACCCTCAGCATCTGTTGCTAACAACCAAAATCTAAGGAGTGAATTACGTGGGAGAATGCTACCATAACTTAAACAATATAGCCTGTATTACAAAGCCATTAAAAACAGTAATTCTTTAAGACTGTAATGATGGGAAATAAAATGCAAACCCTTCATGTGTCTACTAGAAAAGGCAGGGTATGAAGCCATACGCACACTCAGTATGATTCCAGCTAGGTTTTCATCCACACACTAGTTAATAGAAACTATACCCACATTTCACTGTGGTCTCTTAAGGAAGCTTTTCCTGGACAGTGGAAACTGTGGTCTTTCCTTTAAAGTTCTATTTTCCAAATTTTCTGTAATGGGAAAGGATCACACGTACAGTGAGTAGCACACACCTCCTCAGAGTGGACACGCTAGGTGCTCGGTGCACAGCGTGGCCATAACGCTCTGCTTGTTCTGCAGCTGCTGCTGGACACGCACTCCCTGAAGATGGTCCTGCTCGATCTCCCATCCATCGGCTCCCAGGTGGTGAGGAAGGCACCTGCCAGTTACACTAAGATTGTCGTGAAAGGCATGACCCGGGCTGAAATGATCCTCAAGGTATGTCTTCTCTGGGGACTCTGTTCACAAAGGCTGGCCCCATCTTAGATCCCTTGTTCCAGAGAGTTTGGCTTTTACAAACACAGAGTCTGCCCTGTCCCCTCTAACCCCCGGGGACTGCCCACACTCTGTGATGTTGAAAATCAGTGCGCAGTTACCTGGGGATCAGCAATCCTTTCTGACAGGTGATTTCTGTTTAATAAGCTCTAGCAGCTGAGAGCCAGGTGGCAAATCAGGAGAGAAGCCCAGGGATCTCTTGCCTCTCAGCAGGAATTTTAGGCCCAGATGTCACTCCCTTCCCCAGAAGCCTTTTGGCTTTTGTGTTTTGCACCTTTAAGTGAACTCTGAACAGATGTTGTAGTAACTGAATCTAATTGGCAAATGGGCTTTTTAAAGCCTTGTTTGACAAGCGATTGGACGTGGTGCCCTGGTGGAGCAGCACCTGCCTCTGATCTCCACCCGGGCCTTTCAGAAAAGGCTGGCAGTGGGGAAGCAGAGGCTCCGTTCTCTTGACCTGAGAGCCCAGTGCCTGCGGGCTCCTCAGGCCCATTTCCCAGGGTGACTCAAGTGATGGCAGGGCTTTATTAAGCTGCAGTGTCCTGGCCTGGCTGCAGACTTCAGGATCTGGACCACATGAGGGGCCTGAGGAAACTACATCCTCCCGTGCTGGTCTGCTCAAAGGAGGAGAGCTGCATTCTGGAAATAGCTGCTAAGGCCCTTGAAAGGAACTGCTCCTTGCCACTTTCCGGTACATTCTCAGGAATTCAAAACAAAACCAGCCCACGAGGGAAGAAACATCAGCATATTCCAGAACCAAATGAAACGAATCTGAGGCTGGTGTGGCCATTTGTCTATGTACTAATTGTTAAATGGATGTGGCCACACAAAGTGTCAGGTTTCAGGTCTTCAAAAGAGTAAGGCCAGTTCAGGATTTTTGTTTCTGAGGATATCTATGGGCTTCTGCCCCCTCTCAGTGACAGACAGAAGGAGTGGATGCCCCACCACCCATGAAATCCCCCAGCAGATGGTCTCTTCCATGCCTTCTGGGAGAATTAGGAGCCTCAGATGTTGGGGGACCAGGAATCCATATGTTAAAAGACAATCTGGGTAATAATGGTGATTCAGCCACGCTTGGGAATACTGTAATTGGACATCAAGTTGAAAATGAACCATCAGCATTTCTGAGCACAGTCTTGGATGGCAGTAGGCCCCTTTGTGGTCAACTGACAAGTGAGAAGAGCTGACCCTGCCCTCCAGCCTGAGGGCTCCTAAGGACCTATTCTTGTTTCCTCTGTTGGTAGGTGGTGATGGCCCCTCATGAGCCATTGGTGGTATTTGTTGACAACTACATCAAACTCCTCACGGATTGCAACACAGAAACCTTCCAGAAAATACTGGACATGAAGGTGAGCCCTCTTGTTATTTATAGCCCATCCACCCTAAGGCATGGAATGTGCATATAGAATGTGGGGACTGCCTCAAAGTCACCCTGCATCCCAGATTGCAGAGAGCCTTTCCTGGAGGCCGATCCTGGCCATATAGGCTGCAGCATCCTGAGGACCGCCCTGCCCAAGGGATGGCCACTGCCCAGGGGAGGTTGGAGCAATCCAAGGAAGAACAGGGATGGTCCTTCCCTCTTCTGTTGTTCCTCTCTTCTCTTTTCAGCCCTTCTTTCTCTCCTGTCCTGTTAGTTCTTTTTCTTGCCTCAATTTTACCTTCCAGGCCGCCCTCTAGGACCAGTACTTGCCCTGGAGAAATTGAGGTCCTTGGGTTCTAGCCATTACACAGTTAGCCCAGCGGAGCTCAGGCTGGGCAGACTTCAGGACCAAAGTATGCTTTCTGCTCCTGCCGTTGATTGTGGGACCATCCCTGACCACCTCTCCCTCTCCTCTCAGGGGCTGAAGAGGAGCGAGCAGAGCGGCGTGCTGGAACTCTTTCGACAGAGGCTCCCCGCCCCACCCTCAGGGGCAGAAAATTCCAGCACACTGTCCCTAATGGCTCCAACACCAGAGCAGGAATCATCCCGCATCCGCAAACTTGAGAAACTGATTAAGAAGAGACTGTAAGGAATATACAGACATTGCCAGGGACCCTGAGCTACTGATTTCTGGAAACCCTCACTCTTAGGACTCTTAGGTCCTCAGTCTTGAAACCTCTAGGGGCATTATGGTTATTAAACTATCTCTCCCATTCCCTGTCTTCGCTCTATGCCAATCAGGGAAACTGAGTGAAACCGGGTTGTAAAAAGGCATTTTTAGATTACCTACCATTCTGAAGCTGGGTCAGCATTGGGTGAAAGGTCCCTGTGGCTCACTTCTATCTCCAGGCTGCCGTGATGGTTGAGTTGCCATGTCACCTCCCCACATAGCCCTCCTCACCAGCTCTGGACCCCACCAGCCTGGACCTGCAGCTTGACTGAGGAAGCATGGATCTCACCCCTTCCTCCCTCTGCATTTGAGGTCAAAGCCTCTGCAATCAGGGGTGCCTTTTCCCTCCTTGTCTCTGGAATTGGCTTGGGGCCTGAGTGGACTTAGTGACAGATGACAGAGTGGGATACTGGCCTCTCTCTATCAGGACCCTGCCAGGATTGGCACATCCCGTGTTACCTGCTGCTTTCTGGGGCTTCAATCTGACCTCCATGACATGGCCAAATTACCCCCGGGTCCTCCCACGTCTCTGTACTCCCCAGGAGAGCAATGCACACCGCTTATCTTACACATGAGGAGGCAGACTAAGGATGCTGGCATGCCCAGCCTGGGCATCAGGTGTCTTGCCTGTGATGGGCTCCTGAGCTGGTGTGGAAGCAGACCTAGAGCTGACTTAGAGACTGCATGGCGCTCTCCCTGAACATGAACACATTGTCCTGCCCACTTTGCTCCTGGATCCGAGGGAGGGGACTGTCTTCTGAGACACCAGGAAGTTCCCTTGGAAGGGCTTTCTTTGGCTTTTTTGGCAGAAGCTGTGAGAAGGAAGACACAGGAAATCTGGCCGCCTGACTTCCCACTCCCTGGTACATTGCAAGTCTGGAGTACTTTCCAGAGCCCCTGAAACATGGTGGCCGCATGTAGCACCTCAGTGGCGCAGCACTGCCACCAAGAGAGACACCTAGGAACGTGATTATTGACCTTGCACCCCAGATTCAGAGCCTGGAAGAGCCCAGAGCATAGCTCAGCCCTGTCCTGACCATGCTGCCGACCACTAACTCCCGAAATCAAGCCCTGCAATGGGGAATCGCCCCACCTCCAGGGAATGGCACCTCACCAGGGCAGCCATACCCTGCTCTCTTGGCTCAATTACATGACCACTACCTCAGTGTGACACCATTAGTGACAGCTTTCGGCAGCTGGGAACATGTCATCCAGTAGGACAGTCAGATCCCAGATCCCAGGGCCACCCCTTCCATCACCACCACAGCAACAAACCTCGTCTGCTTATTTCTGGATACCCATAGTGCTCAGCTTGCATCCTGGGCCCTATGTCTCTTCTCTTTTTCTTTTCTTTTTTATTCTTTTGGCCACGAAGCTACACCCCAGTCCTAGAGCCTCATATCTTCATCAGCATCTAAAACATTCTTACTAGTCACTAAAGCTCTTCTGTATTGAGCATTTTGAAACTCTAAGCAGGAAGAAAACAAGTGGCAGGAAAAAGGCATGTCACTTGTGGTCGAGATGTATCATAACTTAGACAAGCACAGCCCACTGGTGCTCAGCAGAAGGATTCCTCTGTGCTGCCCTGTGGGTCCAGTAGTTGTGTGGCTTGCCCTGTTTTGGAAAAGAGGGGCTGCCTCAAAACAGCACAACCAGTTCAGCACCTGCCACCCACCTAGGGGAGCCAAGGAAGCCAGCGGGCTCTTCCCACACCAGGCCACTGTCACCAGACTCACACAGCTTACTGCGCTTCTCCTTCCAGCCCTCCCTGTGATGGCATTGAGATGTCAAGCTGCCATTCCTCCCAGTCGGTGGTCACAGCCAGCAAAGTGACTTCCTTGATGTATTGCACTGTTGGTAATCACCGAGGAGCCAGCAGATAGATGTCAGTAGGAGTTATGTTAAATGTCTTCTTGATGAGGACTGAATATGGTGTGTTCTGCAGAGACAGCCTATTCCTCACCTGGGGAATGCATTAGAGTCCCCTGGGGCCCTTTGAAAAATGCAGATGTCTGAAGGCTTAGCTCTGTAAGTCTGTAATAAGGCCTGGCGTGTATATGTTTAGAAGCTGTCAGTATCCACGGGAGACTAGTTCCAGGACCACACACACCCCATGCAGATGTTCTGTCCCTTCTGTTAAATGGCAGTGTATGTAAATAATCTAAGCACATCCTCTCATTGACACTAAATATTCTAGAGTATGCATAATGCCTCATATGATGTAAATACTACATAAATAATTAGGTTGTTAAATAGTTAGGTTTCGGGCGGTTTTATTGTTTTTGGGTTTTGGTAGTGGTTTTGTTTTGTTTGTTTGTTTGTTTAAAGATTTATTTATTTTGTACACAGTGTTTTGCCTGCATGTATGCCTGCAGGCCAGAAGAGGGCACCAGATCTCATAACAGATGGTTGAAAGCCACCATGTGGTTGCTGGGAATTGAACTCAGGACCTCTGGAAGAGCAGTCAGTGCTCTTAACCGCTGAGCCATCTCTCCAGCCCTTTTTGTTTTGTTTTTAAGACAATTTCAGTAGCTATGTGGTCCAGGCTGACCTTAAACTCATAACCTAATCTGGCTTCCCAGCTACTGGCAGTATAGGTATGCACTGCCATACCTCAAAGTCAGCAGTTGTTACACCGGATGGCTTAGGAACTAATCACAATTGAGAAACTAGTCTGCATGTGTTCGAACAGGTTCTTTTTTTCTCCCCAAATATTGTTATTGCCTTTGATTGAAACACTACATGCATGACCCATAGATACAAAGGATCAACTGTAGACTGCTCACTCCCTGCTCTCAGCCCTTGCACTGAAAAGAGAAAGGTCATTTGAAATGGAGTTCTAAACCCCATTTTCACAAATGTGTGTTTCTCTGACTGTCTAACTCAAGGCTGGTACCAGCATGGCCTTTTTTGTGGCTAGCAGCTTTCATCTGAAGCTTGTTTAGATGATGAGGACTCTTCCCATAGTGGTCAGGGTTCTTGTTTTTATGCCTGTGGCTCAGCCTTTATTTATTATTGTCACTTCAAAACAATATACATAACTAGGTGTTATGTATATTTAATTCTTTAATTCCAACACTGGGGAGGCAGAAACAGGCAGACTTCTGAATTAGAGGCCAGCTTGGTCTACATAGGGAGTTCCAGGCCAGCCAAGGCTACACAGAGAGATGCTCTTGAAGAACAACAGGACAAAAGCAGCAGCACCAGATGTGAAGAGTTCCCTGTGACTCTTGTTAGGATGGATATCTGGCTCAGAGGGGCAAGGCTAGAGAAGGCTTTGTTTAGACTGTACCTGCAGTGCAGAAACCATGAAGAACCTCTAGCCTCTTGGAGAGCCTTGTAGGTGCAAGGCCTTGGGCACACACCCTATCATGAAAAAGAAAATTCCTCTCTGGCAGAACAAAGAGTAAGCACCAAGACTCTGCCCAGCACCCAGGAAGGTGCCCACTTCACATGCATCTCAAGTGGCCCTTTGGTGCAGATGAAATGACGGAGAGCAGAGAACACAGGTCCCGGCTGCTGCCTGGTGGGGGCATTACACAGGCCCATCCTGAGTCGCTGTTGGACAAGGAAACCTGGCTCCCTGTTTACAGCAGGCTAAAGGAAATTGCCAGAAGTACGCAGCTGGAAATGTCATTCCACTCCCTAGGAAGAGAAGTCTCAAAATAACCTTAGCTTGCTTGAGAGGGGAAGGCAAGTTCCACATATATTGTCTACTCCAAGTTGGTTTCCCAAAAATAAAATTGTTAGGGCTGACTGCATCGGGCCATTTAAGCATTAACCTTGGAAACAGGCTCGTGAAAAGCCAGCTGACGTGAAGAGAACCATTACATTTTACATATGAAATAAAAATTTCCAGTCCCATCCTAACTGTCCATCAACAAAGCCTGTTGGGCCCGCCGAGTTCCGCACCTTGGGGAGATGTAAATTTCTTTCAAATAAAAGAATCATTCTTTTGTGTAAGTGTCTTTCGTCTTCCCCATCTGGAATTGATTTCTTGCTGCATCTTGAAATACAAAATACTGCAGTTAATTAAAGCATTACTGAATGTCATTTGCTAGGATGTCTTTGCCTACTGCTGACAGAAAACAGAAGGAACCCTAAGAAGGAGCCTGAGCTTCCCTCCCCACTGCCACCACACTTCTCACGGAGGCAGGTGAAGGGACATGCCCTGCTTTCCTGACAGTCTAAGGAGGCTGCGCCCAAGGAGAACGTGGCAGCCCGGGGCCGCCGCCGGCTGGCCAGCCACAGTGGCACCCTCTGTCTGAATGTGTGGCAAGTGTACTGCTCCTGGTTTGGATTCCACTTGGCGCTGAGTTTCCATCTGTTGGCTCTCCCCTCCCCTTGCCGTTCCACTCTCAGCCAGATTCCCATGCGGCTGCCCAGAGAGCTCTCGCCTGTACACAGCAAGTTATTCCTGCTTCCTTCACAGCTGGGTGGGCATTTTGTACTGAGATCTTTGAGGGAATTCTGATTTTCCTTCAACAGTGGAAAATCTGCCGTAGCACTTCCATTAGGCTGGCCTGGGAGCTTTACCTAGTTTCCATCCATCGTCACCGGCTCCTGCTTCCAGGGGATAGCCAGGGAAAGCTCTCATGAGAAAAGAAGCACTTCCGATTACCCACCCCAGAGGGCCTCGTGCAAGATGATTTTCCTACCAGCCCTCTGCCTTCTCACCTCCATAGCCAGGCAGAGGAAGCTTTGGTGAGCAGTGTGTCCACTATGAAGAGTGTGTCCACTGGAAACAAAAGCAGCCCGGGATGGAAACTTCCACAGAAGCCCTGCTCTGCAGGTCTGGTCCTAGCACTTTGACATGGGGCCAGTCATTGACTCTCTGAGCCTCCTTTTGCAACATCTGTGAAAAAGGATTATAAACTTTCCCAGTAATCCTTGTGTTGTTTTTTTTTTTTTTAATTCATTTTAATGAGACAGGTTCAGGCTGTTAGTCCTGCTTCCGTGTCCCAAATGCTGGGATTGCAGGTGTGTGCCATTAAGCCTGGCTCTCCCCAGTGACCTGAGGCAGAAGGATTTCTGTGAGTTTGAAGCTGGCCTGGACTACATAGTCCCAGACCAACCTGATTTGCAGAGTGAGACTGTCTCAGACACAAAGAGTCAATGAAGCTGTACAATTCTCACTGGCTGAAGCGTGGGTCTGTCTCTGGGCCATGGGGGAATGTCTGACTGGAGGGCCTGGGGGGGTGGGGGGGTGGGGGGTGGAGGTGTAACCTCCTGGGCCAACCCGCCTTCCCTGGGCAGAGTGTGAATCCTGCTTCTCTGTCCCAGCTGCATCCCCAGGGAGCAGCAGAATGTCATCTTTGCCCTTTTTAGGTCGCGATGGTGATGTCCATCTCACTCAAGAGTTCTCAAATTCTGCGCCCCTCCTGCCCTGGCAGCAGCCACTTCCCTAGCAGTTAGGAATAAGCCTACAGACGCGGAAGAGAGTTTCCTCTCCCGGCGGTGTTGGCCAGGCCGCCCACTTTGGAGAGCAGGACACATTTCCTGTGAATGCTTGGCTAGGGTCCAAAAGAATGCTTTGCGTATGGTGTCTAGTCCGCGGCTCCACTCTCCAGTGATTCTTGCCTGGACGCCTTCTGATGTCTTCTGGGGTTTTATGAGGTTTGTTTTTTGACCTATAGTAACCCCCAAATTATGGAGAGACAAGCAGTCCTAATTGGGAAAGCTGTGGTTGGCTCACAGAATGGAATCCATTAAATGCCTGTCAAAGAATCTTAGATTTTTCCCAAGGCTGCCTAATTACCTGCATTCAGGGGCAAAGTTCCTACCTATCCCTGATGACTCACATACTGTGAAGAAGTTAGAGTGATTATAAATTAAAAATTGTGGTGGGCAGGGTTTACTGGAAGACTCCTAGAGCCCTAGCACTGGGGAAGCGGAGGCAGGGTGATCAGGAGGTAGACGCCGCCCTTATAGCTGGGGATATGGCCTAAGTAGAACACTTGCCTGGCAGCGCAGGAACCTAGATCCATCTGCAGCACTGCCAAAGCTTTGTTTGTTTGTTTGTTTTTTGTTTTTACCAAAACAAAACAAATTTTGGAAGAAAACGTAGTGTGAAACGCTCAGTCTGCTAAAATTGCTTCCCACTTAATCTGAGATGTCTTTCAGCTTCTGCTCCATAATCAAGGGGAATTTGCACAATTTCCACGCCTCCTTCTGTTCAGGATAATTTTTCAACGAGACAGAAATTAAGAACAGCTTCTCAGCAAACTCCCCTTTCTTTCTGAGGCCAAGGAAAGTCTTTACATAGGGTGCAGAAGCTTTCCAGATTGGAGTGGCGAGCAACTCGCTGCTTCTGCCCCTTGGTATGTGTTAAGGTGCAAGTAGACCACAATCTGCGGGTGCACTGAACGAAGTACTGTGGCTGCCGAGCCGAGGCAGCCACTGAGACGCTTTCCCAGGCAAACCGAAGGATAGCTCATCCACAGAGAAACAATCGTTCACAGACACACTTGCCACCACAGATCCAAGCCCGGGAGTCCTGACACCATGTTTAACTCTACTGTTTTTATTGATATTTATTGAGCTCTACATTTTTCTCTGCTCCCTTCCCTGCCTCTCCCCTCCCCACTTCATTCCTTCCCTAAGGTCACCATGCTCCCAATTTACTCAGGAGATCTTGTCTTTTTCTACTTTCTACTTCCCATGTAGATTAGATTTATGTAAGTCTCTCTTAGTGTTGCATTGTTGTCTAAGTTCTCTGGGATTGTGGTTTGTAGGCTGGCTTTCTTTGCTTTATGTTTAAAAACCACTTATGAGTGAGTACATGTGATAATTGTCTTTCTGTGTCTGGGTTACCTCACTCGAAATGATGTTTTCTAGCTCCATCCATTTTCCTGCAAAATTCAAGCTGTCATTAATTTTTTCTGCTGTGTAGTACTCCATTGAGTAAATCTACCACATTTTTCTTATCCATTCTTTGGTCGAGGGGCATTTAGGTTGTTTCCAGGTTCTGGCTATGACAAAGCTAATATGAACATAGTTGAGCACATGTCCTTGTTGCACGATTGAGCATCCTTTGGATATATACCCAAAAGTGGTATTACTGGGTCTTGAGGAAGGTTGTTTCCTAATTTTCTGAGAAATTGCCACACTGACATCCAAAGGGGTTGCACCAGCTTGCATCAGCAATGCAGAAGTGTTCCCTTTTCCCCACAACCTCTCCAGCATAAGTTGTCATCAGTGTTTTTTTTTAATATTTATTTATTTATTATTTATACAGTATTCTGTCTGCTTGTATGCCTGCAGACCAGAAGAGGGCACCAGACCTCATTACAGATGGTTGGGAGCCACCATGTGGTTGCTGGGAATTGAACTCAGGACCTTTGGAAGAGCAGGCAATGCTCCCAACCGC